TTAATTGATAAAAAAGTTTTTAGAGAAAATGCATATTAATTTTTTTATTAGGTGAAACCTTTTGAACTTTAAAAAAAATTATAAAATTAATAAATAATTATAGATATATTAAAAATAAATATATAATAAATTATTATTCGGTTTTTTTGGACTATTCGGTTCTTATTTTATAAACCAAAACTAATCCAAAATCCAAAAAAATAATTCGGTTTTGGTGAAATCTAATCCAAAAGTTCGAAAATCCGATCCAAATAATCTAATTGAACAATTCAGTTTTATCCAAATAGTTAACGGTGTGAGAAATAGCCAGGCATCTTAAACTTCCACAAAACTGCGGGGGCGTTTTTAGAACTTGGCGTTTTTAGAACTTTTTCTAGCAATTTGGTCTTCGGTAGTCGAAAATTCACCCTTAAACTTGAAGCTTTTCGCAATTCCCCCGACTTTGAAGAACCGATCATTTTCTTCTTACTGCTCGAATCGCGCGATAATGGTGCGTTTTCACACTTTCTTGATCAACGCCCTTGTTACAAATTATAATATCGTACAAGTTTTGTATCTCTTGTCTAAATTATTGCTCTGATCTTGCATTTATTTTTTGTAATGGACAGATCCGATTCATTCTGCTTCAGAATAGGCAAGGGAAGACTCGTCTCGCTAAGTATTACATTCCTCTTGAAGAATCCGAAAAGCACAAGGTCGAATACGAGGTAACCCTAGAAAAAAGATGAAAATTTCGATTTTGATTCTCTTTTCAGTCAACTTAATCTGATTTTGCAAATTTGTGTGCATAATTGTGTGTTTAGGTTCATCGATTGGTCGTAAACAGAGATCCCAAATTCACTAACTTTGTTGAGGTACTTACCGATCTTCCTATCATCTGTATTTTCGATTTAGGAAAGTAATAGGGAGAGTTACACTTTGAATTAGGGTTTTAACTTGTTACTTTTCAAATTTACAATTAGAATTGTAATAAAGGACCAATTAGTGATCATGGATATCACAAGTTCAAATCTTTGACCAAATATGAATTCAGCTGTAATCCTTGTGTGGAAAAAGTAAAAACCACCTTATGCATCATCTGATATCTCTTAATCACCTCTGCAAGTTTCATATATATGAACAAAATACATTGATAAAACATAAAATTGAACTTGTTTTATAAAGTTTTTGGTTTTTATATATATTTGTTGTTGCAGTTTCGTACACACAAAGTTATATACAGGAGATATGCTGGACTTTTTTTCTCACTTTGTGTTGATATAACGGATAATGAGCTTGCTTATTTGGAGGGCATCCATTTATTTGTTGAAATACTCGATCACTTCTTCAGTAATGTCTGTGAACTAGATTTGGTCTTCAACTTCCATAAGGTACTAATAATTTATATTTTCATTCCTCATTTTCAAAAAAATATTATATTTTGTTATTGACATAATTCTTATTTGTAAAAAGGTGTATCTGATTTTAGACGAGTTCATTCTTGCTGGAGAATTTCAAGAAACAAGCAAAAAGGTATAATATATACTATATCTTATATCTATATATTTATTGGCTCAAAAGGGTAAAATATCTTATCTTATATTTATTTATTAATTGTGTTTTTTTTTTTTTTTTTTTGAATTCATAGGCAATCATAGAGAGGATGGGAGAATTGGAAAAGCAGGAGTGAGATGCGTTTTTTTTTTTTTCTAGTGGTCTTCTTGGAATATCTGTATTTTCATACATTTTTGATTTTATTCATGACTATTGTATTGTACCTTTTGATTTTCGTAAATGAAATATTTGAAACCTTTTGAGGGATACAACTTTCATTGCATGAAGTACAATAATTACTAAGTTACCATATATTGTTACTCTTACTATATTTACACAAGTTAACAAGAACAATTTTCAGAAGCTTATTGCAAGTCTTGTTTGTTAGATATACATATGCCATTTACACTGGTGACGTCAGCTTTAATAAAATGACATATGTAAACATGAACCCAACATCTCTTTCGTGAATTGTTGATCCTATGAGTAGTGATGACGTCAGCTTCTTTTGGAGGTGGTTCCACGTGTAAAGTTTCTACTGGTTCTAATTCTGAAGTTTTGTTGAATGTTTGAGCCAATGCAAATAGAGCCTCAGCTACTTCTTCTTCATCTTTTGTACAATCGTTTGATTTTTGAGTTTCAGTTTCTCGTTTTTTAATTGCTGTAAACGTAATTATAAACCCATTATATAGAATGGCAATAGATAAATAAATAAATAAAGTATTGGGAAAGATGATCGATTTCACCATGTATACCGATAGAATTCAATCTTCTAAGCTTCTCTTTCTTTGATGATTTACTCAAGTAAACGTTGTGATCCAAACCTATTTCAATAATGCAGACAAATTTTGATTTTTGATGGATGAGTTAATTCTTGATCATGTAGTGTTTCTTTTACATTTACTGATTGAAGAAGAGTTGGTTTGAAATTTAAAGGAAAGACGTTAAATATGTGAAAGAATGGGGATACAAAATTCTTACCTGTGTGTCGCATATGAGTTGATAATCGACTTGATCCTCCATGACCTTTCTCCATTTCTGAAATTATGTTAATTTGGAAGATCAAATACAATGTCAAACACAGAAATTTGGATTGCAGTTAATAATCAAACTCTATCGATCATCAAAAACCATTTCGAAAATGTGAGAAAGTAATCAGAAAATTTTAGATTTCAATTTCTGATCAATTGGTAGAAAACGCTTTTGTGCTCAGAGAATCACGTTCTTCATGAAATAAAGCGATCAGTCTCTTTCTCACACACAGTGATGATGTAGAGATGCACACGCAAAGGAAGAAATTCAAGAGCTACACTGGATCTCACATTTCATATACAAAATTTCAGAAAGAAAGAGACATGATTTGCTCAATACATGAAAGAATTACGCAACTGTAAGCCAAATTCATACAACAATCGAAGGTTATTAAAAAAACTAATTTAAAAAAAAAAAGGAACAGAGAACTCACATCTGGAATGGATGGAGAAGAACAGAATCAACAATTTACCAGATAGAAAGGAATATTTTGAAATTTGCACTGAAGAATGATGGTTTTTTATGGTGTAATCAAATAAAATCAACGCATTGATGGAAGATCAATATCGCATCATTAAAATCATATATTAGATTATTCTCTCACTGACAGTAGATGATATCTCCATGATCTGTAACAGATGATGAATAATGAGAGGAATAAGAAAGAGAAGCTGCAGAAATAAATCACACACTACAACAATGTGATCTCTCTCTCTCTCTCTCTCTCTCTCTCTCTCTTCGCGAGTATATATATGTACGGCTTTTCCCTTTATACAAATTTCGAAGCATATGGTACAAGTCAATATGGGAATATTGGTCTGGATTTCACAAAAGTTCATCTGGAAAAGAAATTACATATATGTACACAAGTACATGTACCGATGTACGAAAGTTATACACTGAAAAAACGGGTCATTGAGCGAGTCGAATTACTTGAGTTGACTCATAAATGTAAATGTATGATATACATAATATCATATCACGTGAACTATGATTCACTTGGCTAACAAGGACGCTTCTAATCTAACAATTAACTAGGAGATCTTGGGTTCAATTAGAAATAGAGGAGATATTTAAATTATTTGTAGTTAAAAAAATATATATAAACTATGATTGATACATATTTTTCTCATTTTTACGAAAGACGTTTTGACCTATTAAAAAGTTTAACCAGATTTTAAGTAGGTCCAATAAATAAAAATTAAATATTGTTAATTTTGGCTGAAAGTTTACATGATGTACTTCCGGTTGGTGGGAGGTATTCCTTTGGGCCTTCTCATGTTGTGCATTTTAATTTTTATGACGGATGATAGTTCATAGTTGTAGGCTTGTAGCGTTCATATATTTGGGCTATTAGTTTTGATTTTAAATGTAAATTTCGACAAATAAATTAGTTTTAAATTTAAATTAAATAATAATAATTAGATAAAATATTAAATAAAAAGGTTTTAAATGAAGTTTTCATCATTGTTTAAAAAAGCGGTCAAGGCATACGCCTCAAAACGATTCGAGCCTGAAACGAGTATGAGGCGCCGATTCTACAGTCTGGTTTAGGGCATCGCCTCTGATTTTTGAGGCGGAGAGAAGCGGATGAAAAAAGAGGGAGGCGGTGCGTTTTATGTGGAGGCGTTCAAGAGCAGATTTTGTCTTCTAACCCTATTTTTTAACGTTTTTTACAGCTGTTTTTCATCAGCTTTGTTTTTACTTTTACTTCTGCAAGAAAGTGAGTTCTGAAACTTCCCAAAATATCAAATTTCACACTTTTTGACCTAGTCTATAATGATATGTTGCCTGTTACTTTGATCTTCCTTTTTTTTCTTCTTCTTTATTCAAAGTCAACATATCCATTCCGTATCACATAAATCTTCCATATTTTTTGCAAGAAAATCTCATACCATTGTATCTTCAACCATTGAAGACCTCATCAGGTTACATCCCGTTTTCTTTATCTTTCTTTTTGCCTATTCTTCTCTAGTATTATTAGCTCTTTCTGTTGTGTTTATTTGTTATTCATTCAGTCAACTTATTATTTTGTGAGTTTGTGATCCATGTGTTTATTTATTGTCATTTATTATTTACTGCATACATGCATTTATTATGTGTTTAATGTCATAAATGCAAGAATTTTTCTTGGCTGTTACACGAATTAGCATACAGCTTTTGGATTTCAATGCCTTATTTTGTTGCTTGTTTGCAGTCTTTTTTTGCTATTTAATGTGGTTTTCTTTCTGTTTGCTTCATAGTTCATAGTTCATACTTCATACATCCATATATTTTGTTTATTTCTTGCTATTTTCATATAGTTTTCTTTCTGTTTGTTTTCTGTTTTTTTTTGTTTGTTTGCAGTGTTTTTGTTCACTGTTTAGTCTTTTTGCTCACTGTTTAGTCGTTTTGCTCACTGTTTAGGGTTGTTTCATCAAATTTCGTTTATTAGGATGGCTACTAAAGGGTCACAAAAGGATCCTGCATGGTCGTGTAGTATAGAAATACCAATTGAGGGTGGAAAAAAAGGTTATAAATACCTAAAATGTAAGTTTTGTAGTAAAGTCATCAAGGGGGGAGTGAAGAGAGTGAAGGAACATCTTGCATACACTCACAAAGATGTTTCACCTTGTCCTAATGTTCCCGATGAGGTGAAGGAGGAAATCTGTCAATATTTGAAGACCTTTGAAACTACAAAATTTATGGCCCAACGAAATTTTGAAGAGAATGTGGAATGTGGTGCATACTTTGTGAATCACAACATTAGTTCTTCTCCAAATGTAAACGATAGGGGAGTTAGAGGACCTATGGATCGATTTTTGGGGACTACAAAAGATGATGAGCAAGGAACCGTATCGTATCGGGTGAGAAGATGACACCAGCAAGTGCTAAAGAACACAGGAATAGAGTTTGCTTGGGTATCGGGAGATGCTTCTACGAGAATGGGATCTCATTTAACGTGGCAACACGTCCTTCTTTTATAGGTATGGTGCGTTCCATTGGCCAATATGGTAGGGACTTGAAACCACCTACTTCCTACGAGTTGAGGACTTGGATATTAAATGAAGAAGTCAAGACAACTACAACAATAGTTAATGATATAAAAGCAACTTGGAAAAAAACCGGTGTTACTTTGATGTCGGATGGCTGGTCCGATATACGAAATAGAAGTCTTATAAATTTTCTTGTAAACAATCAATATGGGACTGTTTTTTTGAAGTCTGTTGATGCCTCAGATTGTATCAAAAACGTACAAAAATTATTCGAGTTACTTGATGCGGTCATAGAAGAGATTGGAGAAGAACTTGTGGTTCAAGTTGTGACTGATAATGCTAGTGCCTATAAAGCTGTTGGTGCACTATTGATGGAGAAGAGAAAGGGTTTGTATTGGACCCCTCGTGCTGCTCATTGCTTCGATTTGATGCTTGAGAAGATTGGAGATTTGCCACAAAATAAATATGCTTTGCTAAAAGCAAAAAAAGTCAGCAATTTCATCCATAACCATCAATGGGTTTTGAGTTTAACAAGAAAGTTTGCTGAGAAAGATCTTCTTCGACCGGCTACCACACGATTCGAGACATCATTTTTGACATTGGAAAGTATGCATGGATTAAAGCAACCACTACAAAGTATGTTTGTTTCAAGAGAGTGGTCAAATTGTGCTTAGGCAAAAAAGGATGATGGAAAAGTTGTCAAAAAGATTGTCATGGACGAGAAAACCTTTTGGCCTAGTGTGGTTTATTTCATTAAAACCTCAAAGCCACTTGTTCATGTTTTGAGGATTGTTGATGGTGAAAGGGAGCCGGCGATGGAATATATTTATGGTGTAATGGATGAATGTAAAGTGCAAATAGCAAGTAATTTTAACGGGGACGCGTCTCAATACAAGGAAATATGGGATATTAAATGGGAATTACAAATGCACCGTGACTTACATCCCGCGGCCTATTACTTGAATCCCCGTTTTAGATGGAGTCCCGATGTCTCTGAGCATCCCGAGATAAAAATGGGTTTGTATAAGTGCATGGAAAGACTCGTTAGGAATCGAGACACTTATATAAAGATCGATTCTCAACTTGATGTTTATAAATACAAACGAGGATTGTTCGGATACATGGCATCCTTGACATCATACATGACATGTCCACCGGGTTGGTTGTTGTTTTTAGTCACAGTCTATAGTGCAGTTTTTCTGCATTTAGTGCACTGTTTAGTGCTGTTTTTTTACTGCTTAACTAGACTATTAATGTTGTTTTATTACTGCAGTTGAATGGTGGGACAACTTCGGAGATGAGGTTCCCAAACTCAAGGCCTTTGCAACAAAAATTTTAGGCCTAATATGTTCGGCTTCGGCTTGTGAGCGAAACTGGAGTACATTTAATCAAGTACACACAAAACGAAGAAATCGGTTGACCACGAGTAAAATGAATAGTTTGGTGTACATCATGTACAACAAGAAGCTGAAAAATAAGTTTATCAAGAAGAAAAAGCTATCGGATGAAGTTGATCCCCTACTTGTTGAAGAATTGCCTTCTGATGATGAATGGGTAGCCGACCCAAATGATGATGAAGCCGACAATGGTGGTGAAAGTGAAAATGGCGGAGAAATTGGTGGAGAAATTGGTGATGGAGGTGAATGTTCAACATCAAGAATGAGGAAGGATGTTGAATTTCATTTGATTGATGAAGAGGACGTGGAAGATGATGATGATGTTTGCATTATGTGATTTGGATTAAGTTGACCTGTTTAAGACTTCCTAGTATTTTCATTTTTAGGATCAAAACAATAACTATTAGTTTTTGGGATGAAAACATTAATTGACATATGATCTATGATTATTTAAGTTTGGTTTGGACTTTTATATTGTTTTTTTATAAGTTATATAATATTTTATAATTAATTTTATTATCCGCCTCAAGGTCACGCCTCGTTTCGCCTCGAGGCTTACGCCTCGTGAAGCGGAGGGCAAACTCCTCGAGGCTCGTTTCCGTATTTTTGAACCTTGGTTTTCATTGCTTGAAATTATGAGTTGACATTTCAAAAAAATTAGTCGAATAACATAAGTTGACTTAAACTTTATGACTTTTGATTTGAATGACCATCAAAGATGCATAACTAGGGGCGGAACACACTCACTACAACTAGGGGGCCGAAATCAAAACTTCATAATTGAAATATGTAAAGAAATTTTATTTATTTCAAAATTATGACATATCAAAAGTGTAAACAATAAAACTAATAGATTGTTACATCGTTTATCAAAGTGGAATGCGACGATCTTTCGGATTTTTAAAGTCTTCTATAACCGTCTCTAAACTAATCTTTTCAGCAAGTTCCCGCTCGAAGTGCAAAACCAACGAGTCATTCAAAAACACGTCTTCCATTTTATTCCGTAACCTTGTTTTAATGAGGTTCATTGCTGAAAATGACCTCTCCGTTGTAGCAGTAGAAACTGAAAGAGTAAGTATGAGACTAGCTACTCGATAAATAAGATGAAAGTTCGCTACTCTTATAGTCTTTATCAACCATTGGCACAATTCTGATATAGATGTCAATAGTTTATAATCTGCATGTTGAACGACATCAATCTCATAATGTTGAAGTTGTATCTTCAAAACTACTTTCTCTTGTTCATTAAAAATCTTCAGGATAAAACTTCTCTACTAACTTAATTACATCGCTACTTCGAAAAGGCTCATCAACACTTTTAGGATCTAAAGTTGTTGAAAGTCGAAGCAACTCTGTTGATCTATCACCGAATCGATGATTTATTTCCATTAATTGCTTCGTAAAATATATCCACTCGGTAATGATGGTCTATGTAACACCCGCAGATTCGGGCTAGTCAATTAAGATATAATAAGCGTTAAAAATGATTTTTTATAGAATATTATCTAGGATAAATAATCTTAACCAAAGTAATAGTTAGGGTTAACAATTGTAACATATTTGACCTAATAGAGATAAATTATTTGAATATTATATGTTTCATGATTATTATAACATAATAAAATAGGAAAAATCAGTCGAATCGTCCGTAAATCGTAAAAATAAGTGCGCCAAAACATATATATATATATATATATATATATATATATATATATATATATAATATTTAGGAAGTACACGTCGTCCCGATCCCAAAAATATAAATTTCGTCAAAATCCGAATCCATATGAATTAGATATGATTTTTATAAGATATAAAAGTCAGCCGCGCACAACGAATGTATGACATAAAAAGCTACGAAGAGAATAGTTGACTTTTAGCTAATGCGACGAAAAAGAAAATCATAGTACTCCTTAAAATAGGAATTTTGAGAAAAAGAATGTCAAAAACGGAGTCCGTACGAGAGTGTTATGATTTCAGCAAAATCATTTAATTTTATAAAAACATGGACAAAAATATAAATTCAAAATTAGCCGACGGAGTCTAAACGAAAGTTGTAGATCTCGTCGATAGCTACGCGTGGATATAAAGAACGTCAAAAACGGAGTTCGTATGAACGAGTTATAATTTTTAATAACACATTTACGTATTAAAATAAAGTGTAAATCATATATACGTATACATATATATACATATGTATATATCATTAGAAAGGTATCGACGATGCGGTCGTTATAAGACTAGTGTTGAGTACTTTCGATATTAGTTTAGTACAAATATCATTAAATCTATTTAAAATAGTATATAAGGGGGTGTTTAGTCATTTAAGTAAATATAGATGGTGGTTTTTGAAAATTCAGTTACTATAAATAAGAGCCTCTAGGCTCTCATATTTCGTGCACCATTCTCTTGATTCAAGAGTCTTTTTCTTCTTATCCCCGAGCATTTCGGTCCTTCGTGATTCGACTTCTCTTTCTATAGTTTTAGTATAGTAAGGTGAGCGCTGAAGCGCTGCAAAAATCTTTCTTAGAAAGATTCAGCGACGAAGTTCTACCCCTGCAGAACGCGACTCTTAGCTAAAACTCCATTGTAAGTAAGTTATGTTTACCCTATTTTAAATATAGCTTATATTTAATATTAGTATTGTTATTATGAACTTATAATAAATATTTGGGCTATTATTGTGACTTATATAAGTGTCGTTATAATATCTTTTTAACTACTCGCGGTACGAGAAATCTGGTTTAAAGGGCCGCATATGGTTGTTGGATTTCAGAAGTGCTATATGTCAAAATGGTCCCGCCCTCCGGTGTTTTATGTCTGGCCCCTGTCCGTACATAGTGGTTGGAAAATATTGTTTAAACGCTTATATAATAATAATAATGCTAAGACTAATAATTAGTCACGATAAATATTAGACTAAAATCTAGTGGTAATAATACTAGGTTTCGTCGAAGGAAATTATATTGTTAAGAAGCGAAACGCTGTCCGAGTTTGGAATCATCACTTTAACAAGTGAGTGCATAGTTACTTTCATCTTACACATAGATATGAAGTATTTTATATAAATTACGTGCTATGTGTGCATATTATTTGAATACTTGATTTCTATGCTGGATGAACGATTTTATACATGTTTTAAATGATTTAAATTGTATATGTATTTTATATCTACAAATATGTTGGGTAAAACACGGCTAAATGAACGATGAGAGATGAAAGATAGTATGAGTAAACATTGACAACTATAGACTTAGTGCCTAATAAATAACATCGGCAACTATGGACTTAGTGCATATTAGATAAACACTGGTAGCTATGGACTTAGTGTAACGCCCAGGTTTCGGGGCTAAGCATTATCAGATGATGTAATAGTCTAGGTCAACTATTGTAACTCTTTTGAGATAATAAAGATGAAATATTTGATTATTATGTGAATTATGTGCCTTTATATGCTTATTATTTATTTATAATGATATAATAAATAAATGATAAAAATAAGCGTCAAAAAATAAAGTGTTAGATAAACCCAATATCGATGAATAAAGTTGTATTGGTCGTGACAAGGATTCCGGAAATATAAAGAACGCCGAAATCCGAGTTATAACGAAGAAGTTATGACCTGTCGAAGTTTCACGACAAAACCGACACGACGCTGTGTGACGTAAATTAGTGAATTTACGATAGAGGACTTTTTGGCCTTATTAATCTAAACCAAAGTTGTAGTATACGTTAAACCAAGAGCGTGCATAAAAAAAACGCCCAAATCTGACTTCATATGAGGAAGTTATGATTTTTCTAAGATTTGGCTTAGCAGTGCACAACCCGAAACTCGAATTTTAGATCGAGCGGTTTTTGGCCTACGCGACCTAAATGAGAATTGAAGATCTCATTAATAGGAATTCAACGGTAAAAAGACAGACGAAAATGGAGTCCGTATGTAGAAGTTATGAATTTTACGCGGACATTTAATAGTATAATCTCCTCGTACTGTTAAATTTAAGATCGGTCAAGAATTAGCCAACGGAGTAAAAATAAAAATTGTAGATCTTATTTTTACCTACGCGTGGATATAAAGAACGTCAAAAAACGGAGCTCGTATGTGAAAGTTACGAATTTTAGAAGTCGGAAGTGTGTTGTGCGAAAATGGGTGACGTGACACAATATTGGCCATTGCTTTCTCCCCAAGTCTTGCCACCAGATGGTGACATGTGGCACCAAGTTCAGCCATATTTCACCCTATAAATAGAACCTCTCCCACCCTCATTTTCTTCACACCTTTCCCATTCTTTTCTCTCTCACTAGTTTCTCTCTCTAAGCCCCCTAACCCCCCCCCCCCTAAAGTCTAGGTAAACCCCCTAGCACCCGAAGGAAGCCCGAGAAAAAGGGTCTTTCGGTTCGGAAACGCTGCTCCAAGCGAAACCCGATTTTCTATAAAACCCGCTGTAAGTGAGCTACGCCTACGCTATTTTTAATATAGCTTTTATTTAATTATAGTAACATTATTAGGAACTTAAAATAATTATTTGGGCTATTATTATGAGTTATATAAAGTGTTGTTTAACGCTTATATAACAGTAATAATAGCTAGACTATTAATTAGTCGCGGTTAACGTTAGACTAAACCCTAGTGGTATTGATACTAGGTTTTGTCAAGGGAAAATTATTTTGAGATAACGAAGTGTTGTCCGAGTACCGAATCACCACCTAATCAGGTGAGTGGATAGTTACTTTCATCTTACACATAGATATGAAGTATTTTATATAAATTACGTGCTATGTGTGCATATTATCTGAATACTTGCTGTCTATGTTGGATGAATGATTTTTATACACATTTTTCATGATTTAAACTGTATATGTATTTTATATCTACAAAAATGTTGGGGTAAAACATGGGTAGATGTAATAAGACGATGTGTGATAAAATGATGAGTGGCCTCGATGTTGTTGGTGATCTAGTCATGTAGCGGAGTATAGGCGACGACCACAGACTCTTATAGACAGTCCAGTGGAACGCTAGCAGGATTCTAAACGTACGACTACGATATTAGAACTAGTATGTAAACGTTTCGGAGAGATAATGATGATTTAAACGTCTATCCTAAATAAAGATCTAAATTCACCTTATTCGGTGTATATATCAAAATGGCAAGAACCCGCAGTGGAGCTGGGAATGCGATTGGGAATAGGAATCAACCCCCAGTGATTCAGCAAATACCTGTTGTAGTAGAAGTTGCACCCGATCCAATCACCATTGATGGAGTACAAGCTATGATTCGGGCTATGTTAGCAGAACAAAGGGAGGAAATGAGGCAGATGTTGCACGAAAATAGG